ACTCACTACATACAGCTTTTCTCTGTCCCAAACTATATACCAGGAGCGTCTGCCTGCTAGTAAGAAGGTAAGGAGACAAGTGGACCAGCGAGTGCTAGGGGACAGTCCTTAGAAAGCATGGAGTGAGCGCATCATTAGACGCATTTATGCCAAGCTCAGGGTGCTGTCTGCATAGTATGGCCAGCTGCATGATTGGCAGGCAGCCTGACATGCATTCATGCCAGGTTGACCTTCTAATTCTTTGGGCAGACATTCCCTCTTTTTGGGCATGTTCGCCCCTTTTGGCAGGTTACGTGATTTGTGTCAGTGGCACACCCTTTTACCTTCCTGCTTGATTGGACACTGCTGTTAGGGGTTATGGATTTACTTGAAAGATGAAAACATAAATTAGTGAGAGATTAGCCTAGGGTATGTGTTTCTTATAGCTGCTGTTTTCTATCTCTCCAGCACCATCTTTATCAGATACATGACGCTTGGGAGTGTTTTAGTGTTTTTGGTCGATATGATTCTGTAATTAGGCCCATCATAATTGTCAGCACCAGGCCCACTGGGCTCTTAATCTGGCACTGACTGCACGGTACAAAACATCCCACAGCCGCTGCTCCCAAGCATGACATCACTAGCTGCCATTAAATAATCTATCTCTCGGCAGCTTCCCTACACATGACCTCCATCCAGACTGTGACTGCAAGGTACAAAACATCCCACACCCGCTGGCTTCCTAGGAATTGTCTGTCTCCCTCCCAGTCTTGCAGCTGTCTCTTCCCGTGTGTTAGTTAACAGTCTCTGTCTGTTCTATATATAGCTACATAGTAATCTAGGTTGAAAAAAGCCTCCGGTCCATGGAGTTCAACTTTTAATACAAACTGTTGTATATTTTTTTTCTCTCTCTCTCTCTCTCTCTCAGCTGCCTGCCTGCTAGTGTCTGTCTGTCTCTCTCTCACTGCCTGCTTGTCTCTCTCTCACTGCCTGCTTGTCTCTCTCTCACTGCCTGCTTGTCTCTCTCACTGTCTGCTTGTCTCAAACTAACAGTTTTACCTTTGTAGATTTGTACCTCTGTCAATCTGAATTGGGATGAATAGTCGGACAGAATTAATCGGGGGGGAGAGAGGGGACAGCTCTAAAGGCACGGGGAATCTTGCGAAAATTGATGGCAAGATGAATGCAACATGTTACCAGAAAATACTGGCAGGCAATTTGCATTCTTCTGCAGGAAGGCGGGGGGGGGTGATATGACTGGGGCAATGAATATGGAGAAAAGTATCAGTAATGTTTGAGTTTGGGCCTTAGTACTGTATCTGCCCTATATTGCCCAGTTGTACCCAGTCCTGCATCTGCCCTATATTGCCCTCAGTCGTGTATCTGCCCCTCAATGCCCTGTGTGTGAAGTTCCCAGAGTTGGGGGAGGGGGTTGTTCTAAGGGGAGGGGGTTGTTCTGGGGTGAAATTTGAGTATATGAACTGTCTAACAGGACACTACAGACAGCTGGTCTCTGAGATAAGACACTCAGTGCTGTGTGAGCTCTGAGCAAGCCATGGCTTCCTGTGAAACCCCAACACATGGATCAGGGCAGGATCCCAGTGAGAGCAGAGTCTGCCACGGGGTGAGTGAGCTGTGATCTACCCCATTGTACAGCGCTGCAGAATATGTTGGGGCTTTATAAATAACAATTTGTTTTATTCCCCATTGTGCAGCGCTGCAGAATATGTTGGTGCTTTATAAATAACAATTTGTTTTATTCCCCATTGTACAGCGCTGCGGAATATGTTGGTGCTTTATAAATAACAATTTGTTTTATTCCCCATTGTACAGCGCTGCGGAATATGTTGGTGCTTTATAAATAACAATTTGTTTTATTCCCCATTGTACAGCGCTGCGGAATATGTTGGTGCTTTATAAATAACAATTTGTTTTATTCCCCATTGTACAGCGCTGCGGAATATGTTGGTGCTTTATAAATAACAATTTGTTTTATTCCCCATTGTACAGCACTGCAGATTGCGGAATACGTTTGTTGAATAAAGCACGAAGTGCTGTCTGCAAATTATTGGAGATCTAATAGTTACTGTTTGTCTTGTACAACGCTGCAGGATATGTCAGCACTATATAAAAATTTGTCCTCTGTCCTTGCTGCTTCTGTGATGGGATTTCAACATGGTTCAGTAGGCCTGAAATCTCCATGTGGCATATACAAGTACAGGTGTATGTTGTATCAGTTAGTTAGTTACATGTAGCTAAGATACTGTCATCAATGTACTGAGCATGTGCAGGAATGCAGGAACTGGAATCACACTCCTTTCTCCTTTGTTCCGGATGAGCCACGTGGTCAGACCAGATGAGCAAGTCCAGACTCTGTTTATTGATTGGTTAAGGGTATGTGTGGGTGGAGCTATTTATGGGAGGAGCTATATTGCTATATAAGGAATGTACTCCATGTGTTCTGGGCTCAGATCTGTTGTGGAACATTAGTCCATCTGAGACCCGATCGGTACGTGAATAAAGGCCTCTTACTTCCTGAATACCTGTGTCCATCTCTCTGTATGGCTTCTGCGGTTTGTTTGTTTGTTCCTGTTATTCCTCCGGTAACACAGGGACAGATGAGTATTGGCTACTAAAACAGAATTTATATATTAATTTATAATTGCATGTTATTTTAAATGTTATAATATAATGTTTTACTTTATTTCATTTATCTTTTCCAATTATTATTATTTTTTTTTATTTTTATTTTTTTTTTGTGTTTATTTCCCCATTTGCCGTTCCTTTTAATTGGCTTTAGATTTTATTTTCTGCTCTATCCGTGTTTATATAGATTTTTCGGAGGCTTTCTGTAGCGTGATCTCGTGGTGTCTGTCGGCCATATTTAATCCTTCACACATGCGCAGGTTTCCCATTCACAGTGATTCTCTTGTTCTGTTCATTCTTCCCTTTTTCTCTGTATGATTTGCGCACTCACTTTGCAGCCCGCGTTGCCAGGCAATGCTCTGCTGGCAGGTTTCAGCTAAGGCACTTTTTAGACTTTTTTTTTTATTTTTTATTTTTTATTGAGGACCTGCGGTGTTGTGTGCTGTGCGACAAAAGCAACTTTGCACCTGGTTTTTTGAGAGGATTAATGGCCAGCCTTTTACCCTGTGACTATGGCCCCATTTAATTAATTTTGGCTGAGAGACCCTAATTGTGCCTATTGGGACTTTAAACATTGGTTCTTCAAACTCCCGAACAGTCTAAGAGGCCACCATTCGACATTCGAACACGTGGTGGCGGCCATCTTGTTCGCATGGACTAAAACCGTGAATAGTCTTCAGGGGGACTTAGCTGTGAATGCACTGGAACTATTTTCGCATTAAAACCCCGCGGTTTAGGCATGAAATCCTGTTTGCCTCGGCAAAACTATGACTTCCATAAAATTTCTGAACTCCGGAACTGATCTGGGTGATTTTTGGATATGTTGTTCACCCAGATCGGGGCTATCTGGGGATATGTGGTGTTTTGGGGTGTTTTGCAGACTTTGTAAAAATGTGTGTTTTTCTGCTTAGAGTTAATTGAGTTAGCCCATTGTCTTTGTTAATTGTATCACAGACAGAGGGGAGGGTTTGTGGACACTGTATGGGCGTGTCTGAATGTAAATCTCTGTTTTTATTGGTATCCAGGTGGGCCAGTCCGGCCCTGCTCGCAGCCTTGTCTCGTGTTGTAGGGTACGGCTATATCACACTGGGGATTGCTATACTCTGTATACTCCCCTGGGTTCTAATCACTGGCTCTTCTAAGAGCTGTTCCGGCTTCGTTCTCTGAAGGAAGAGAGGTTCATCACATGGGATTTTTTTGTTTGTTTTGTTTTTTTTATACTAAATTAAAAAAATTCCAATTAGTTGTTTTTTGTTTGTTTTTCTGTTTGCAAATGATTCTTTTTATCCATCCTTTCCTTGTGATTACTTGAATTGTTAAAACTAATTCAAATAAATTCACCTTTGATAAATTATGTAGCGATACTCACCCTGGCTCATTTTTCTCTGTTAAACCTGGAGCGTTTAATAAATGCCTGTAATTGTAATGTCACGGTTTGTTTCTGCATTGTTATTGACTGTAATAAGTTGTGTTCCTGTCCTCCACAAGGTCCACGTGGGAGTGCCCCTTGCATGGGGAATTGTATAAAAGCCAGTGTGGCACCAATAAAGCTTCAGTCTTGTTACACCCTACATCAAGTTTCGGCTGATGTTTGGGTACCTGTTCACTACCTTGGGAGAATCTGCTTGGAAAGCTGTTTCTCATCTGGAGAAAGATGAATGGAAACCCAAACTGCGAGCTATAATCACTCATGCTCTTAGCAGTTTGGGTGGAAACAGACAAACCAATAGCTACCACATTAGGTTTCGTTACATCTATATTTTACACTTAACTCAGATTGCTTTTGTACTGCTTCCCTTATACTTGGGGATTTCAATAACCCCAATTGCACTGATGCCTCTCGTCTGCTCTCTGTAACCTCCTCCTTTGGCCTTACGCAATGGTCCAATCTAGCACCCCATACAGCAGGAAACACTCTTGATCTTGCCTTCACCAACCTCTGTGCTGCCTCTAATCTCTCCAATATTCATTTTCCTCTATCTGACCACCATCTGCTGACATTTGACATTGGCATACCTAAGACCCAATTGACACCACCGTCTGAACATCACTCTCACAGAAACCTCCAATGTCTTGACCTAGAGCATTTCTCCACTAATCTCCAAATTCTCCTTTTACCTATCTCAAACCTCACCTGTCCTAGTTCTGCAACCTCCTTCTACAATTCCACCCTCTCCTCTCAACTAGACATCATGGCACCTTGTACATTTAAACGCCGCAGGCCCCCCCAACAACAACCCTGGCACACCAAGCTCACTCGATACCTCCAAAAATGCTCCAGAACTGCTGAACGCTGTTGGAGAAAGTCTCACTGTGCATCTGACTTTCTCCACTATAAATTTATGCTGAGCTCATACAGCTTGGCTCTTTCCTCTGCAAAAGTTAATTACTTCAATACCCTCATAACCACACTCTCCCGCGAACCCAAACGACTATTTCACACATTTAACTCTCTTCTTCGCCCTGCTGTTCCTCCTCCACCTACTAATTTGACCGCCTCAGATTTTGCAACTCACTTCACTGACAATATCTCTACAATCAGAGAAGAGATCTCTCATCTTTCTTCTTCCCCTAACTTCACTCCCTCTGCTGTTCTATGTTCATTCGCACCTGCTACATTGGAAGAGGTTTCTGCTCTGCCCCAGTCCTCCCGCCCCACCACCTGCTCCCTAGATCCAATTCCCTCGCATCTCATCCGTACTCTGTCTTCTTCTTTCTCCACCTCTCACTAAAATTCTCAATCTCTCTCTCGCTCCTCTGGTATATATTTCCATTGCCCTTCAAACATGCAACTGTAACCCCAATTCTAAAAAAGCCCAATCTTGACCCTAACTCCCCATCCAACTATCGTCCTATCTCGCTACTGCCTTTTGCATCCAAGCTCCTTGAAAAAATTGTGTATGCGAGATTGACAGACTTCCTCGAGTCCAACTCTATGCTACACCCGCTTCAGTCTGGTTTCAGGGCTAAGCACTCTGTGGAAACGGCACTGACCAAAGTATCCAATGATCTACTCGCTGCAAAATCTCGTGGTCACTACTGTATCCTAATTCTCCTTGACCTGTCTGCGGCTTTTGACACTGTTGATCATCAACCGCTTCTTCTCATCCTCCGCAATAACGGTCTACAAGATATTGCTCTCTCCTGGTGCTCCTCCTACCTCTCCCAGCGCTCTTTCAGTGTTTCTTTCTCTGGCTCTGCTTCTTCTCCCCAACTCCTCTCTGTTGGTGTCCCTCAAGGTTCAGTCCTTGGTCCCCTACTGTTCTCCATCTATACTACCTTCCTTGGTAAACTCAGTAGCTCCTTTGGCTTCCAATATCATTTCTATGCAGATGACACGCAAGATGTCCTCTCCTGATCTCTCCCCGTCCCTCTTGACTAGTGTCTCTGACTGCCTCTTTGCTGTTTCTAACTAGATGGCTGCCCACTTCCTTAAACTAAACTTGACCAAAACTGAAATTCTGGGCTTTCCTCCCTCAAGTGTTCTTACTCCTGTGTCGGTCTCCCTCCAAGTCAACGGTGCTACCATCCGCTCCACCACGCAGGCTCGCTGCCTAGGTGTTCTCTTTGACTCCGACCTCTCCTTCAAGCCTCATGTTCAATCTATCGCCAAATCCTGTCATTTCTATCTCAAAAACATTGCGTGCATCCGCCCCTACTTAACGCCAGATGCGACTAAGGTGTTGGTCCATTCCACTGTCCTTTCTTGCCTTGACTACTGTAATCCGCTTCTCAGTGGTCTAACGTGCTCCCAACTTGCGCCGTTACAGTCCATAATAAATGCAGCAGCAAGATTCATCTTCCTGTCCGCCTGCACCTCCCATGCCTCACCCTTCTGTCAGTCCCTACATTGGCTTCCTATAAAATATAGAGCTCAATTTAAAATTCTGGTTCTTTCTTTCAAATCTCTACATAATGCTGCTCCCACATATCTATCCTCCCTTAGACACAAGTATGTCCCGTCTAGGCCCTTATGATCTGCTGAAGACTTACGTCTATCTTCTGTCCGTACTCCCACCTCTGATGATCGCCTTCAAGATTTCTCGAGGGCTGCACCGTTCCTCTGGAACTCGCTTCCCTCCTCCGTTAGATGCTCACCCAGTCTCCACTCCTTCAAAAAATCGTTAAAAACCCACTTCTTCATAAAAGCATATCAATTAAACTGTTAATAGCTCCGACTGATTCCTCTCTCTGCAACTGTCACTAGTCTAATACTATCCTTACCTTTTTGTGTCATTTTACCCCACTCCCTCTAGCATGTAAGCTCATTGAGCAGGGCCCTCACCCCTCTGTTACTGTGTCACTATACCCCACTCCCTCTAACATGTAAACTCACTGAGCAGGGCCCTCAATCCCTCTGTTACTGTGTCACTATACCCCACTCCCTCTAACATGTAAACTCACTGAGCAGGCCCTCAATCCCTCTGTTACTGTGTCACTATACCCCACTCCCTCTAACATGTAAACTCACTGAGCAGGGCCCTCAATCCCTCTGTTACTGTGTCACTATACCCCACTCCCTCTAGCATGTAAACTCACTGAGCAGGGCCCTCAATCCCTCTGTTACTGTGTCACTATACCCCACTCCCTCTAACATGTAAACTCACTGAGCAGGGCCTCAATCTCTCTGTTACTGTGTCACTATACCCCACTCCCTCTAACATGTAAACTCACTGAGCAGGCCCTCAATCCCTCTGTTACTGTGTCACTATACCACTCCCTCTAACATGTAAACTCACTGAGCAGGGCCTCAATCCCTCTGTTACTGTCACTATACCCCACTCCCTCTAACATGTAAACTCACTGAGCAGGGCCCTCAATCCCTCTGTTACTGTGTCACTATACCCCACTACCTCTAACATGTAAACTCACTGAGCAGGCCCTCAATCCCTTTGTTACTGTGTCACTATACCCCACTCCCTCTAACATGTAAACTCACTGAGCAGGCCCTCAATCCCTCTGTTACTGTGTCACTATACCCCACTCACTCTAACATGTAAACTCACTGAGCAGGCCCTCAATCTCTGTTACTGTCACTATACCCCACTCCCTCTAACATGTAAACTCACTGAGCAGGCCCCTCAATCCCTCTGTTACAGTGTCACTATACCCCACTCCCTCTTACATGTAAACTCACTGAGCAGGCCCTCAATCCCTCTGTTACTGTGTCACTATACCCCACTCCCTCTAGCATGAAAACTCACTGAGCAGGCCCTCAATCTCTCTGTTACTGTCACTATACCCCACTCCCTCTAACATGTAAATTCACTGAGCAGGCCCTCAATCCCTCTGTTACTGTGTGTCACTATACCCCACTTCCTCTAACATGTAAACTCACTGAGCAGGGCCCTCAATCCCTCTGTTACTGTGTCACTATACCCCACTCCCTCTACCATGTAAACTCACTGAGCAGGCCCTCAATCCCTCTGTTACTGTGTCACTATACCCCACTCCCACTAACATGTAAACTCACTGAGCAGGCCCTCAATCCCTCTGTTACTGTGTCACTATACCCCACTCCCTCTAACATGTAAACTCACTGAGCAGGCCCTCAATCCCTCTGTTACTGTGTCACTATACCCCACTCCCTCTAACATGTAAACTCACTGAGCAGGGCCCTCAATCCCTCTGTTACTGTGTCACTATACCCCACTCCCTCTAACATGTAAACTCACTGAGCAGGACCCTCAATCCCTCTGTTACTGTGTCACTATACCCCACTCCCTCTAACATGTAAACTCATTGAGCAGGCCCTCAATCCCTCTGTTACTGTGTCACTATACCCCACTCCCTCTAACATGTAAACTCACTGAGCAGGGCCCTCAATCCCTCTGTTACTGTGTGTCCAACTTGTCTGGTTTCAACTACATGTCTGTTCGTCCACCCATTGTAAAGCGCTGCGGAATTTGTTGGCGCTATATAAATAACATAATAATAATGATAATAATAACTGATCAGCCACAACATTAAAAATCACCTGCCTAATATCAATGATCCCCCTTGTGCTGCCAAAACAGCTCTGATGAATTGAGGCATGGACTCCACAAGACCTCTGAATGTGTCCTCTGGTATCTGGCACCAAGACATTAGCAGCAAATCCTTTTCCATATGACTATAGGTTCATGTTTCCACTCAGAGTAGATTAGTGGTTATTGATTTAATCATTTCTCCTTACTGAGAATCTAATGTGTTTCTTGCACCATACATGGCTACACCCCATTAGGGAGAGTTTGTTTGTATTGCTATTTCAATTAAATGTGTGCTTGTTCTAGGATACATTATCCAAACTAGGTGTTTAGGGAGGTCAGAGTAACATAAAAACGCCATCCATATCTAGACATAATGTGCGATTCGTGATAAGTGTATACAGCCAGAACATCTTCCACTTCATCTCTTGACAAGTTCACTGTTAACAGATCCACTAGATGGCAATCAACTAGAGAACATTGTGTGAACATCTTCAATTATATTACAAAGAAACGTTTCCTTTTAAATTAAATTGTCTCTGTCATCTTCTGAGGTCTTTGCATATTTTGTAAAGACCCTTAATGATGGAGACATTGTTGCTTGAAGAGCAATGGTCACAGGGTAAAAGAAAATGTAGGTTTTACTTACCTGAAGCTGTCCTTAGCAGCCACCTCTATCTTCTTCTGCAGGATCCTCTTCAGCTCCTGGTGCTTCATCTGCCAGGAGTCCACGTTGGTGTTGTACTCTTTCACATATACAGGAGTCCAAAATGATTGTCTAAGGAGGATTCTGTGTGGACGTTAGAGCCTGGAAAGACAATGTTTTAGTTTTTCTTACTATATCTGTAACTAGTGGGAGCTTGACAAAGCTTCACAATGCTAGCTCCATTTTTTCGTCTAGCTTTGTAAAGCATAGGAAAAATATATAAGACAAAGTAGACTTTGTCTTATGATATCTTTAGACTGAATTGAAGTTTCAGTAAAATTCCAACAGGGTCAATTTAAATATTTAAAAAATAATTTATATGTAAAAAATACACATTTTGGGGGGAGGGGGGGGGGGAATGGTGGTGGAGAACTGCTTTATGTGGACACTTTGTATAAAATCTAGTGTGTGTATTCAAACGTTCTCCTATAATCCAGAGACTGCTAAGGGGGTCCTTTGAAGAAGAGCCTAAAGGGAAACCTGGATACATGAGAATTATCTTCCTAAAAATAAACCACTATTCTCCCACTTTTTATTGTTGCCCTACTCCCGCTGTCCGTTTCGCTAATTCACGATAACACGTTTATCTTGGATCCGATGTGAGAAAACCCACGGGATTCGTCATGGAATTGCTCAATTCAGCCATATGTCTGCAGATCTCAAACTGTTCTCTGGAAAATCTGTTATTTTAGTCAGAGACGATGAAACAAATAATTCTGTTTCTATCCACAGCCCAATAAACGTACCAGGGTTTACAGAACATTTACCAACGTAGCTTAATGATTCAGACGGCTGGCTTGCAGTAGTTCTGGCACTTGGGAATGGTAATAAATTGTATTATCAAGATTGAAA